AGCCACCTCCATGACCAAGCCGATGCGGCACTCAGCAACCCCATTCTGCTGTGGCGAGTCCGGCAAGGTGTACGACTGGGTGATGCCCTCCGCACGACAGAACTGTCCAAGCCGACCAGAAGCGAACTCGCCGCCACGGTCAGAGTGGAGACACAACACGGGGAGACCGCGGTGAAGACGCGCAGCCACAACCCACGGGAGAATGACGTCCGGCACGTCCGCCTTCCGCTCCAGGGGAACACCGTGGTGTAGCGCGTGTAGTCGTTGACAAGCACAAGAAAGTAGCATTCGCCACGCGGTCCGGGGACGGGGGCTGGGCCCCAAACGTCCAAGTGCAGTGTCTGAAGGGGAGCAGTAGCAGGGCGAAGCGAGGAGGAGTGAGGGGCACGGCAAAGCCGGCCCTCGACGCAGGGCGTACACGATGGAGCAGGCGAGAGGGGAAGGGCGGAGAGCGACGCGGGGAGGCCTAAGACAAGACCGTGCTGGGACATGTGGCGCAGACGCGGGAGTGTAGGGTGACCTAGGCAGTGGTGCCTCAAAAGAGACGGGTGAGTGAGGGACCGACACGAGCAAGCTGCAGTGACCTGGGAGGACGCACCAATCGGGGGGGAAGCGGTGTCGAGGGTAAACAGACCGGACACCAGGTCCCGGGGGAACGTCGCAAGAGGGGAACCTGAGACTGCCTCGGTACAGACAGCGAACCACTCGTGCCCAGGGAACGTAGTTGTGACGCCGAGGTCCTGAAGACGGCCGACACCAACCAGGTTCCTGGAGAACGAGGGAATGTGGAGGCCCGTAGGAGAGTCTGAGGGTACGACTGGACAGGGAAAGGAAGTGGAACTACGAGGTACGACAGGACCGGCGAGGGAGACAACAGCAGGTGCAGCAAGCGGCGTGAGCGTGGACCGGTCACGGAAGAAACAGGCAGAAGCACCAGAGTCGAGAGTGAAGGACAGCGACGCAGTGGCAGAGGCCGGGGACGGGGCCGGTGCAGAAGCTAGGCTAGACAGCCTAGGCAGTCCTACGCTTGACGAAGCAGGGGACGCTATGCTACACCTAGACTAGAGTACACAGGGTAGTAAGATCCAGCAACACTAGAAGCGTTAGCATACAAAGCATGCAAAGCAGCACCTATCCGATCCATGTCTAACTCAAAGATCGGCACGCCCTGGCGGAGCAGGCTGTGCCAATCAGGGAGGTCCGGGGCCGGGCCAAAGCGACGACGAAAGAGATCGTCGAGGTGGCGAAAACAGCGGGCGGTGGCACAGAGTGCCGCGGAGAGGCCCGGTCTGAAGCTGGTACTGGCAGGTCACAGCACCGGAGCCGCTGGTAGACGCCAAGCTGCGCGGGCCGCCACCACGGCCACTGCCTCCGGAGGTGCCGGGCCAACCAGGCGGGAGACGAGCCCACGGTTGCAGCGGGTGCTACTGGGACGGCGGCTGCGGCGGGGGCTGCTCCTGCTGCGGCTGGGGCTGCTGCTCCTGCCCACCGGTGGTAGTCCCCTCAGGCGGACTATTGTCACCACCACCACTACCACCACCACCTGCGCCACCACCCCTACCTCCCTGGCGGCCACGGCCACTGCGGCGCGAGCGCTGCTGCAGGTGGACTGCAGCAGCCGTTTCGATAAGAGGGGTCGCCGTGGCGACCGCAGCCGAAACGTCACTGAACGTGCACTGGGAGGGGGCACAGCCGTGAAAGATAGAGACTGCCGGCGCACCGCTCGACTGAGCGATAGTGCGTTGGCGAATCTCGATCTCGGTGAGGGTGTCGACAAAGGCGGTCAGGGTGAGGTCACCCGGGTGCTGGCTAAGGAAGTGGTCGCGAGCACTAGAGAGGCGGTCCGGCAGTCGCATGGCGATAAAATAGAGCGTCATGCAGAAAGGAGGGGGGAGCGCAGTGAGCTGGGCAGCAGTGCTGGCAGTGCGATAGCGAGTCTCTAGGGCACGCAAGTGAGTGGCAAAGTCTGCGACAGTAGGGAAGGCAGCAAGGTCTGGGAACAGCATCGGAAAGAGCAAGCGGCCAGCAGAAGCGGAGGCAAGAGTGGAATATCGAGCAATAACAACGTCTAAATAAGCTTTGGCCGTCTCAACAGTAGCAAAGCGCGAGCGCTCAGACAGAAGGAGGGCATGACTAATAGCAACCTGAGCTACTGCATTGCGTGAGTCCCAGACCGCACAAGCCAGCGCAGCAGTAGAGAAAGCCTCACGGTCATCAGAGGAGGGATCAGCAGGGAGGGGAGCAGGGGCAGGGGGGCGGGGGAGCAAGCCATCAGCATGGACAACCAGAGAGTGGCCATCCTGGCGCTGACCTGTAAGCTGGCGGCGGAGATCGGAGAGCCAAGCGACAAAGTCAACCGCGTGGCCCTCAGCGTCCAGTCGAAGCACGAAGTCAGCCATCGTGCAGTGTCAGCGGCACAGCTCCTCCGCGACATAGCGGCACAGCTCCTCAGCGTCACAGGAACACAGCGGCGCAGGGACACGGCGGCACCCCCTCCAGTAGAGCAGCTGCGAGGTGCCCCAGCGCCGGCAAGCAGAAGACACAGGGCTCGAGAGGACACGGCAGACCGAGCAGGCACAAGGACGGGCCGGGCGGGCAGTGAGAGGGGCCGGGCCGGCGCTGGGAGGCGGGCAGGCGCGACAAACCGGGCGGGTGCTAGGAGGTCGGGTGGGCGCTCTGGGGCCGGGCGAGTGCTGGGAGGGGCCGGGCGGGTGCTGCTGGGGCCGGTTGGGCATGAGGAGGGACCGGGCAGCGCTAGGGAGAGGCCGGGCGGAGCTAGGATGGGGCCGGGCGGCACGAGGAGGAGGCCGGGAGGCGCTAGGAAAGGGGTCGGACAGCACGAGGAGGGGGCCGGGCGGCACTAGGAGGAGGCCGTGCGGCGCTAGGAGGAGGCCGGGCGGCTCTAGGAAGGGGCCGGGCGGCACGAGGAGGAGGCCGGGCGGCGCTAGGAATGGGTCCGGGCGACACGAGGAGGAGGCCGGGCGGCACTGGGAGGAGGCCGGGCGGCGCTAGGAGGAGGCCGGGCGGCTCTAGGAGAGGGGTCGGGCGGCACGAGGAGGAGGCCGGGCGGGCGCGAAGGGGCCCAGGGGGGGCGCGACGGGGCCTAGCGAGCGCGAAGGGGCCCAGGGGGGCGTGACGGGGGCCTAGCGGGCGCTAAGGGGCCCAGGGGGGGCGCGACGAGAGCTAGGAGGCGCGACGGGGCCCAGCGGGCGCGGTGGGGGCCTAGCGGGCGCTAAGGGGCCCAGGGGGGACGCGACGGGGCCTAGGAGGCGCGACGGGGCCCAGCGGGCGCGACGGGGGCCGAGCGGGCGCGAAGGGGCCCAGGGGGGGGCGCGATGGGCCTAGGAGGCGCAACGGGGCCCAGCGGGCGCGGCGGGAGCCAAGCGGGCGCGAAGGGGCCCAGGGGGCGCGACGGGGGCCTAGCGGGCGCGAAGGGGCCCAGGGGGTGCGACGGGGGCCTAGCGGGCGCGAAGGGGCCCAGGGGGGCGCGACGGGGCCTAAGCTAGGGCACGGGCGGAAGCGGTGGGCGGGGGGATCCTAACCTAAGCATGATACCATGTTAACGTAAGAACGAAATAACTGACTAGTAAGAGAAACACCGAACAAATACCAGTTGGTTGTACTCACTAGAAGCACACACCTAGTCTAGCCTATAACTTCTACATAGATAATATGTATAAGTTGACAATTACATAGCCAAGTTATTGTTACCAGACGACTGGCGCATCCACGATTCATTCCACATCAGCCTCCTTCGACAGTTCGTTGCAAACACGGCTGATCTCTACCGTTAACGAATCTATTATTCGATCAGGCCCGTCCCCGAGCCAACCACCAAACCATAGCAGATCCTCTCCCTCCGAATCCGCCGCGACCAAGGTCAACGGATTTTGGCGTTTCTGGTTCAATGGGTCGACGGTACGTATGATGACGACATGTGGGTCCTTGCTGCTAGCCTCGACAACCACACATTGGTGTAGGCCTATTTACAGGATCGGGCTGCTCGAGATGTGGGTAGTCTGGTTTAGGAGGGGGGAAGGTGTACGGAAAATCCCTTTTCGTTATCGAGCCTCGCTAACATCGAGTACAGCCCTGACTTTCGCAAGTCCAGGCTCGGCCAGACATTTCAGGTTCGAACTACGTTCAAGACCACCAAGCCTATACGCGGCGTCGCATCCGACACTTCCGAGTCCCGAGGCGCCCCAAACCATCTCGCGTGTGTTTCGTGGCCCTCCTAGAGAATCCCCTGCTAGGTTAGTTGTGCGTGTAGATAGCTCTATGCTTCATTTGTACACGACACATATTAATCACGACATCACTATTGCATTATTCGATTTCTATCCGGAGATTATCATAACACTCAATATGTGCTTAATCAGATCATAATTTAATGAAGCTAGATTTTGGAAATACAATGTAACGCAAACTTATGGATTGTGTGACTTATTCAGAAATGAAAACATGGTAAATTGGAAAAAAGAGGTGAATAATTGGGCTAGAAACTCAACCAGCTCGATCGAGTATGAAAGTTGACTTTTAGCCTGCTTACAGCGAGTATATAGGTTTAATTTCCCATCAAATGATCTTGTTGAACAGCAGGTACGCGTGGAGGTTGCAGAGCATCTACACGCAGACAACAAGAACACCGTTTTTGCAACACGTACTACCCAACCGACAACGGCCAATCACAACGGCTCGCGCGCTCATTCCTCCCGCTAAATGCACGTTTACTCCCACTGGAGATTCCGAGCAGCAAATCCTAACCCCGCTTATTAGGGCATGGAGCATACGGTTCCGAATTCGGATAGTTCGGACAGCCAGAATGGTAGAGTGATTTTCAAAGCGGTCTCGACATATTTAAGTTGAATAACCGCGTGGTACAGTGTGGTGAAAGTTCGCACGAAGGCTGTTCGGAACTGTATGTTCCACGCCGTTAGTAGTGGATGCGCGGGTTCACAACTTAGAGAATTCGAACGCCTGGGCAAGCAGTACTTGAGGTTGTGTGTGGCAGATCTCCAGGCGAGTTGCTTGTTGGTCATCACTCCTACAAGCTCGTGAAACGCCTGCGCGGTAGCACTCCTGAAGCTCTGACTCCAGTTTTCTAGCTATTGACGCTTTGGTAGCTTCAACAGCTTCCTCAGCTTCGCTACCCGACGCCCTGATTTAGTACGCGTGGAAGTGCCTTGCCAAGGCAGTGCTTGGTCGCAAACCCTGTGTTTCGTCTGGCAAGCCAGGGATTTCTGTTGCCTTTCGCTGATCACTCGTCGACGTTTGTCAGGCGTTCCCACACCGTATCGATATCATGGCGGGTCTATCAGAACTAGAGGAGCCTATACTCAAGCCGAATAGCCAGCGGTTCTGCATGTTTCCGATCAAATACGATGACGTCTGGGAATTCTACAAGAAGGCCGAAGCTAGCTTCTGGACTGGTAGGTCTTTAACTTTGATGGTTTTAAACGGGGTACCCTTGGAGAAACGGTTCCGCGTTTCCTCTCGTGGTTTTCACTTGCGAACGTTTTGTTTCCGAACGTCCCGCCTCGGTCCGCTCGCGCTCCGATAATCCCTTCGTGCTACTCTTTTCCTGCTTGTTTTGTGGTTGGTGTGTCTCGCCTTCCAGCTGAGGAAGTCGATCTTTCACAAGACCTGCAGCATTTCGAGTCTTTAAGGGACGACGAGCGGTTCTTCATTCTGCAGGTGCTCGCCTTCTTCGCAGCTTCCGACGGCATCGTCCTCGAGAACCTCGCTGTGCGATTCATGAAGGAGATTCAGATTCCTGAAGTAAGGATTTTTAATGTTTTGTGAGCTCGTTGCTGTCTGGTCCCTCGTTGGTTCGTGTCGTGCTTGTGTCGAATTCATGCTTACTCTATTGGTTTTTCTGTTTCCCTACCGGTATGACGCTGGTCGCAGGCAAGGGCGTTTTACGGCTTCCAGATAGCCATCGAAAATATCCATTCAGAGATGTACAGCTTACTACTGGAAACGTATATCAAGGACCCTGCGGAAAAGGACCGTCTGTTCAGAGCAGTTGAGACTGTTCCATGCGTAAAGAAGAAGGCTGATTGGACCATGCGGTACATTGAAGGCTCTCAGAGGTATGTCTGACCAATCACGTTCTTCGTTTCTCCTCCTCAACGATGTGGCTCCTCCATTCTCAACGCATGGACTTCGTGCTATACCTCTAGGCTTTTCAAATCTCATGCGTCCATACATCTTGATGTGGCCATCCGTTTTTGCAGTTGCACAACGTTTGCCGAGCGTCTGGTGGCCTTTGCATGTGTGGAGGGAATCTTCTTCTCGGGAAGGTCCGTGCTGGCGTTGCCTTTGTTTTTTTATTCCCTATCCCCTTGGCCTGTTGTTCCAGATCCTTTCATTTCATCAATGCTCTGCTTCGTTGGCTATTCCTCCACTTCACTTGCTTCCCTGCTCTGTTCTCTCCTCCCCTCCACCGCACCCTCCCTAATCCCTGCTTGTGCAGCTTTTGCGCTATCTTCTGGCTCAAGAAGCGTGGGCTCATGCCAGGGCTCACTTTCTCTAACGAGCTCATTTCGCGTGATGAGGGTCTCCACACGGACTTTGGCTGCCTGCTCTACTCGTAGGTGTATCTGATGAGTGCTGATCAGTGGACGGGGTTCAGGGTTTTTGGATTTAAGAGATGAGATTTGACAGGGACTTTGCTTGTCATTTTTGTGGCCATTAGGTTTTCTCTCAAGCTTTTTATTTTTTTGCGGAGCGTCTCTGTCTCTGACTACTCCGATTTCACCTTCCCGCTTGTTTGGCTGTGTGCCTTCAGCCTGCTTCACAACAAGCTAAGTGAGGAGCGTGTGAAGGAGATCCTTTGTGAATCGGTAGAGATTGAGGAAGAGTTCATCCGCGATTCTCTGCCGGTGGACCTAGTGGGCATGAATTCAGGGCTTATGTGCCAGTACATTGAGTTTGTCGCTGACCGACTACTGGTAAGCTCCAGTTGTCTATGGCATCTCTAACCGGGACATGTTTTGATTGCTTCATTAGCCCAGCCTTAAGACCTCTGCTGCATTCTGAGTAGTGTACACTTCAAGTGTCTATGCTTGAATGCAATCTGCTGGTGATGTATATTGTGCAGGTGGCGCTAGGGTGCAAGAAACATTACAATGTGCAGAACCCGTTTGACTGGATGGAACTCATCTCGCTACAGTGAGTTTTCTTGCCCTTCGTACCCATTATTACCATTGTTTTAGGGACCTTTCCTTGCAAGGCCTGATACTGTTGCAGCACCCCTGGCTCGCTGCATCCTGTGTTTGAATATCACTCTGACCTTTCATCCCCCTGGTTTGACTGGTTTACCCCCTCCCGGGTCTCTTTTGCAGAGGTAAAACCAACTTTTTTGAAAAGCGCGTGGGTGAGTACCAGAAGGCCTCCGTGATGGCAAACCTGAATGGCAATGGGGCAACGCAGCGAGTTTTCAGCACTGAAGAAGATTTTTAGTAGGATCAGATCAGACAAGTGCTTGTATCCTCCATTCTGATACGGAAATTGACTACATCAAGGGGAACTGCGTATCTGCTATGTTCCTTGGCACGGTTGTTACATGAAATCAGCATTTCTTTCTCCTTGGATCCTAAGTGTCAAATGCTTAGGTCGTTACTGTAGACTATACTGGATTATGCCTTAGAGGGTACAGCACCCTAGTCTATATACCCTTGTACTCGCACATTCTTCTTCACTTATTCATTCTGTTATGTTATCATAGTAGGTTAGGTCCCCCCCTAGCCCGCCCACACTTCCGCCCCTAGTCCCTAGCCGCCGTCTTGCCCCGGTCTTAGCCGGCCCCCTGGCCGTCGCGCCCGTCCCTAGCTGGCCCCCTGGCCGTTCGCGCCCGTCCCTATCCGGCCCTCCTGGCCGTCGCACCCGCCCCTAGCCGGCCCCCTGCCCGTACGCGACCGACCCTAGCCAGCCCCCTGGCCGTCGCGCCCGTCCCTAGCTGGCCCCCTGGCCGTCGCGCCCGTCCCTAGCTGGCCCCCTGGCCGTCGTGCCCGTCCCTAGCTGGCCCCCTGGCCATTCGCGCCCGTCCCTAGCCGGCCCCCCTGGCCGTCGCGCCCGTCCCTAGCTGGCCCCCTGGCCGTCGCGCCCACCCCTAGCCAGCCCCCAGGCCGTTCGCGACCGACCCTAGCCGCCCCCCTGGCCGTCGCGCCCGTCCCTAACCGGCCCCCTGGCCGTCGCGCCCGTCCCTAGCTGCCCCCCTTGCCGTTCGCGCCCGTCCCTAGACGGCCCCCTGGCCGTCGCGCCCGTCCCTAGCTGGCCCCCTGGCCGTTCGCGGCCGTCCCTAGCTGCCCCCCCTGGCCGTCGCGCCCGCCCCTAGCCGGCCCCCTGGCCGTTCGCGACCGACCCTAGCCAGCCCCCTGGCCGTCGCGCCCGTCCCTAGCCGGCCCCCTGGCCGTCGCACCCGTCCCTAGCCGGCCCCCTGGCCGTCGCGCCCGTCCCTAGCTGGCCCCCTGGCCGTCGCGCCCGTCCCTAGACGGCCCCCTGGCCGTCGCGCCCGTCCCTAGCTGGCTCCTGGCCGTTCGCGCCCGTCCCTAGCCGGCCCCCCTGGCCGTAGCGCCCGCCCCTAGCCGGCCCCATGGCCGTTTGCGACCGACCCTAGCCAGCCCCCTGGCCGTCCCGCCCGTCCCTAGCCGGCCTCCTGGCCGTCGCGCCCGTCCCTAGCCGGCCACCTGGCCGTCGCGCCCGTCCCTAGCTGGCCTCATGGCCGTTCGCGCCCGTCCCTAGCCGGCCCCCCTAGCCGTCACGCCCGTCCCTAGCTGGCCCCCTGGCTGTCGCGCCCGCCCCTAGCCGGCCCCCTGGCCGTTCGCGACCGACCCTAGCCGACCCCCTGGCCGTCGCGCCTGTCCCTAACTGGCCCCCTGGCCGTCGCGCCCGTCCCTAGCTGGCCCCCTGGCTGTTCGTGCCCGTCCCTAGCCAGCCCCCCCCTGGCCGTCGCGCCCGTCACTAGCCGGCCCCCTGGCCGTTCGCGATCGACCCTAGTCGGCCCCCTGGCCGTCGCGCCTGTTCCTAGCCGGCCCCTTGGCCGTCGCTCCCATCCCTAGCCGGCCCCCTGGCCGTCGCGCCCGTCCCTAGCCGGCCCCCTGGCCGTCGCGCCCGTCCCTAGTCGGCCCCCTGGCCGTCGCGGCCGCTTCCAGCCGGCTCACGGTCGCTTCCAGCCGGCTCACGGTCGCCCCTCGCCGTCGCGGCCGCCCCTAGCCGCCGCTGCTGCCGTCTCCAGCCACCCCACGGTCGCTCCTGCCGTCGCGGCTGCCCCTAGCTGCTGTCGCAGCCGCCCCTAGCTGCCGTCGCGGCTGTTTCCAGCCGGCTCACGGCCGACCCTCACCGCCGCGGCCGCCCGTGGCCGCCGTCGCTGCCGTCTCCAGCCGCCCCACGGTCGCTCCCGCCGTCGCGGCCGCCCCTAGCCGCCGTCGCGGCTGTCACTGGCCGCTGTCGCGGCCGGCTCTACTCGCCGATCCGCACCGCCCTGCGAACCCCCCGGTACCGTACTAAACAGCCTTGCATCGCACTATACCGCACTACACCGCACTGTACCACACTGCATCGCATTGTACTGCACTGCACCGTACTGTACCGCACTACATCGCACTGCACCATACTGCACCGCACTACGCGGCACTGCACCGCACTGTACTGCTATCCACTGCCCTCTATTGTCATTGATGGCGGAGGTGCTTTGCTTTGACGCTGAGGGCCAGCCGATTAAGTTTGATGCGTGGCTTGCTGACCTCCGTCGCCACCTCACTGGTCAGCGGCAGGATGGCCACTCTCTGTCTGTCCATCTTGACGGTACTCTCCCCTGCCCTGACCCCCCCGCTGCAGTGTCTCCTAATCCCTCATCCGCTGAGCGTGAGTCCGCTGCGGCCGCTGCCCTTGCTCGCTCTGTCTGGTTGTCCCGTGACGCTGTCGCACAGCTTGCCATTAGCAATGCCCTCCCCCTGTCCGAGCGACCTCGCTTCAGGTCCATCACCACAGCCCAGGCTTTCCTAGATGCTGTTGTCCAGCGCTATTCCACCCCGCCTGCTGCCTCGGTCGGTCGTCTGATCCTCCCCATGCTCTTCCCTGACCTTGCGTCGTTCCCCCACTGTCGCCGACCTGGCCGCTCACCTGCGCACTATAGACGAGACCTGGCATGCTGCCTGCACTCCCACACAGCTTCTAGCCCACCAGCCGCCCCTCACCTCTACTCTCTACCTGCTAGCTACCCGCCTCCCTGACCGTCTTGCCACTGCCCGTGACCACTTCCTTAGCGTCCACCCCGCAGACCTCACCCTTACTAACTTTGTTAACACCCTGTCCGCTATAGAGGCCCGCCACCGCTCTATCGCTCAGACCAGCGGTACTGTGCCGGTCCCTATCTTTCAGGGTTGCGTCCCCGCTCACTGCACCTTCTCTGACGGTTCTGTTGCTGTAGCTGAGACTGTCGCTGCAGCACAGGTCCGTCCGGGGAAGGGTCGCCGCCCCAAGGCTGGGCGTGGCAGCGGGGGTGGGGGTGCAGGTGTAGGTGGTGCCGGAGCTGGGTCTCCTGGTGGTGGTGCGGACGAGGGGACCCTGCCAGGTGCAACCGAGCAGCCGTCTCAGCAGCCGCCGGCGTTGCAGCCGAACTCGCGTCAGCCGCAGCAGTCGCAGCAGCCGCAACAGTCGCAGCCACGGCAGAGACGGGCGAGTGGTCTCCCGCCCGGGTGGCCTGGCGCTGGTGGTAGCGCTGGACGTAGTGGTGGTGCGCATGGTGGGCTGCCGGGTGGTGGTTCGGGTGACGCGCGCTGTCAGTACCTGCTCCAGACCGGTCCTTGCTGTGGCTTCATTTGCGATAAGATTGGTCACACCTCCGTCCGCTGTTTCCGTCGCCTGGACGACCTGTTTCGTCAGCGTTTCGGCCTGTCATCCGAGCTCCCTGACTGGCACAGTTTGCTTCGTCGTAGGGTTCAGATTCTTGATCTTGATATGGATGAGATTGTTACTGCTCTATATGTGATGTATGCTGATAACTCTAGTGTGCTTCCATCTTATTAACCCTTGTTGCCTAGTGTAGGTGTGCCTTGCTTAGACTCCCCTGCTGCGTCAGGCGTAGGATCCACTGCTTTGTTTAGCCTTGGTGCTTCCATCGCTGCTTCGCCTCCGGCCGCCACTACCGCGCTCTCCTTCACCCTCGACTCTGGCGCTTCCTGGTGCTTCTTCCGCAACTCCACCACGTTGACACCGCTTCGTGTCCCTGCCGCAGTCTCTCTTGCTGACCCCTCCTCCGGCCCAGTGGTCGCCCGCAGTTCCACCACCCTCCCTGCCCAGCGGTTCCTTCGGGCTCGCTCACAGGACTGCACATCCCCTCGTTCTCCAGGAACCTAGTTGGTGTCGGCTGCCTTCAGGACCTTGGCGGCACCACTACGTTCCCTGGACAAGAGCGGTACGCTGTCTGTACCGAGGCCGCCACTGGTGCCCCCCTGTCCACGTTCCCACGGGACCCGGTGTCCGGTCTTTTCACACTGGACACGGTGACCCACCCGGCTGGGACCCCCCTTCAGGTGACTGCATCTCCCCCGGTTGCTGCTGTCTGCTCCTGTCGGTCTCTCACTCACCCGACTCTTCTCTGGCACCACCGCCTAGATCACCCTGCGCTCCCACGTCCGCGTCACATATCACAGCACGGTCTCGTCCTAGGCCTCCCCAAGTCGTTCCCCGAGTTTCCCTCCTCCCCTGCCCCACCTTGCACGCCCTGTGTCGAGGGCCGGCTCCGCCGTGCCTCTCACTCCTCCTCGTTTCCCCCTACTGCAGCACCGCTACAGACTCTGCATATGGACGTCTGGGGCCCCGCCCCCGTCCATGGGCCGCGTCGAGAGCGCTAATTCCTAGTGCTTGTCGACGACTACACGTGCTACACCACTGTGTTCCCCCTGGAGCGGAAGGCCGACGTGCCTGCCGTTCTTATCCCGTGGCTTGTCTCTGCGCGTGTCCACCGCGGTCTCCCTGTCTTGCGTCTCCACTCCGACCGTGGTGGCGAGTTTGCCTCTGGTGTCCGTGGTCGTTTCTGTCGTGCGGAGGGCATCACCCAGACGTTCAACTTGCCGGACTCCCTGCAGCAGAATGGGGTCGTTGAGCGACGCATCGGTTTGGTCATGGAGGTGGCTCGCACCTCCATGATCCATGTCGGGGCACCCCATTTTCTGTGGCCATTCGCCGTTCGCTACGCCGCTCACCAGCTTAACCTGTGGCCGCACCCCTAGCAGCCTCAGGTTTCGCCGACCCTCCTTTGGTCTGGGTCACCTTGGTGACGCGTCTGCGTTTCACGTCTGGGGCTGTGTTTCTCACATTCGTGCCTCTGGCACGGACAAGCTCACTGCCCGCACCCTTCCCTGTGTCTTCCTCGGCTTCCCCCTTGACGCGTCTGATTGGCACTTCTACCACCCGCCGTCTCACCGGTTCTTTCACTCCCGTGACGTCACCTTTGACGAGTCCGTCTCCTTCTTCCGCCGCTTCCCCCACCGAGGTCCCCCGGTTACCCCCCCCCCCTGTTCCTGGTCACCCCTTCCCCAGTCGTCGCCGCCCCTCCTCCTCCCCCTCCCCGTCCTGCCCCCTCTGGTGTGTCCCACTTACGTCGGTTGTCCCGGTTGAGGAGTCTGCCGAATCTGGTGGTCCTACGGCGCAGTCCACGCTGCCTGCCTCAAGTGTCTCCTCCTTCGCCGCCTC